GAGGAGGGGAGATGGTTTTCCAAAGAATGTTCCCGTGAATTGGTGGTGGTTTCCCCTGTGAAGCAGCAGGTGGATACGTGCATGGCTAGGATTTGGCCACACGCTCAGTTGGTTCAGATTGCTGATGCAGCTGGGCGTCCACAGAGGATGAAGGAGATGCTGGGAAATGAATTTCCCATGCAAGTTGGAGCCTGGTGGAGATTAAATTGATAAATGCGAAACCACCACGCTTTGGGGGTTATTTGTTAGAGAATATTCTGTAAGTAAGCTGATGGCAGATGTATAAATTGGCTCAAGGTGTTCTACTTGATGTCTAACCTGAAGGAGAACACAGATGAAAAACCAGAGCCCAATTCCTGCTTGCCATTTGTCCACTCTCTTGGAGCTGTGAGGTTCCACTTGCCTTGCAGGTAGCTGATGGAGGAGGCTGGAGAAGTTATATTCTTTGTGCCCACCCGCTGCTGTGTGCTGGGATTTGTCTGCCAGCTCTGCGGTTGGGGCTGGGGCCAGTGCCTGGGGGGAGGCTCTGGGGCTGGGGCCCTGGGCCCAGCATGCCTGCAGGCGGCGGAAGAGGCACTCAGCACCACAATGCTGGGAACTGCTCAGCCACATCTGGCCTGGGGCTTTCAGGGGATGCAGATGCTGCATGGTCCCAGCTAAGCAAGATGCTTCTGCAGATAGCTTAAGAAAATGTTGTGAGTTACGTCTTCCTGGCTATTTCAGGGCTGCTAATATGCTCAGTTAAAGGAGGAATTTATATTTGAAATGCCAGCTTAAACTTTACTGTGCGCATCGGTCATAAATCACGAATATCTTGCTGTCATGCTCTTCACAAGAACTTGTGTGGAAGTGTCAGCGCAGAGGCAGAGGAAGGCAAAGGGCATTTTGGCTGGATCCAGTGCCTGGGCTGACGCCGTCCAGGCAAACTCAGGGGTCAGAGGCAAGTGCCTGGTGGCGTAGCAACAGGCAAAGCTGTCAACCGGATAAAAGCAATTTGATGTGACGAAAGCTGGGAGGAGAGGAGGGAAAGCTCAAGCCAGAGCCAATTTCTGGAGTGATGGCATCAGGCTGATGGCAGTCGTGGTTGTGTGGTTGTGCCCAGGCTGGCCCTGGGGTATGATCCAGCCCATCCTGTGTAGGAGCCCCATGGGGAATGGGGAATGGCAGCTGCACTGGTCCCTGCCCCAGGGCAGAGCTTCCCTGAGCACACAGGCTGCCTCCAGTTTGAGATGGATCACTTGGGATCAATGCATCGATAAGCAGGAAGCATAGAAATGTTTGATTTACATCACATTGCCTGTCCTCAAGAATTCAACCATTTTAATGGACATGAGTGAATCCAATTTTCTTTTATATTTCAGCATTTCTACTAGAAAGAGATATTTTTTTTAAATAAGCATTTCTGATTCCAAATGCATCCCTCAGTAAAGAGCAGCTGCAGAAGGAATTGGTTTGACCTCTGCTTCCTTAATTGCTTTTTGCTCTGTGTTGGCCTGGAAATGGATGTTGCTATTGTGTAAATTACTGCAATGGTGGAAAGAGAGCTGATGAGATCAGGTGTGTGGCTTCTGTCAGTGAAATAGGCTTCTTAACTGGAAAGCAGTGCCTACCTGTCCGCGACCAGAGGCTGGGTCACTCTGAAAGACCCACATGGTAATTACCACATCGTCTGCTTCCGAGCAGCCCTGCGAAGTTACCGGGAGCACATTTAGTCTGAAATCTCCTCTGAACTCCCTTTGGCCACTGGAAGGCAGTGCTCAGACCTCAGGCAGTGCGGCTCAGCCCTCTCATGGCCTACCCACGGCCTGCAGCAGTGCCCAGCTGCTGGCCTGTGGGACCGGAGCTGCAGGGGCTCCTCTGCCTGGTGCAGGAGGTGAAGAGGAAGAGCCAGGGCTTTCCCCCTCCTGAGGTGGTGGCCGGCACATGCCGGTTGGTGCTTGGGGAAACAATTCCTTGTTTGTTTGACTGAGAAAAGTATTGGCTGCAAGAGGAGCAAAGAACAGGAGTGGGTTGCTCCAGCCCACTGTGCATCGAGTGTGACTGACGGAGCCGGGCTCTGCTTTCAGCTTTCCTCACCTGGCTTTGTGGGCTTTGCAGTTCTGCTTTCTGAGCCGTTCTTGGAAGAACCAGTGACAGCAACAGGGGAAATGGTGCTCTTGAGTATGGACAAAGGGCTTATTTTTGCGATGGTACTGTCAGCACCTGCTCCTGGGTAAGGTCCGTGCAGGAGCTCTGTGTATCTGAACTGTAAGCAAACTTGCTCAGCAAACAATGGCGTTTTTGAGAGCGGAATAAAGCAATTAACCTCCAAGAAAGGCATGTCCTAGAATTTTAAAGGTTTATGGATTTGGACTGTGGGCACACAAATGGCAGGTCATCTTTTGGGAAAGCTGCCATGGGAAACTGCAAGTCTGTAAACCTGTGTGGGATATAGTGCTGCTGCTTACGGTCCGCAGATGTGTTGTGAATAAGCATTTGGCCTTGAAAAACATCTCCTCTGTTCTTCAGCAATAGGTCTACCTCTGTGGTATCTAAATTAGTTAATGATAGAAGCAACGACTCTTGTATAATTAGCACATTAATACCCTGAAGGAATCAGCATGCTAATTACCCAACAGGATGAGATTAGAGGTCACATTCTCCAGTAGAGATGAGGGGATGAGTCCTATGGATTCAAACAGCTCCATCTGAAATGTAAAAAGCCTTTTCTGTTTAACAGGTAACACTTCTAGCGAGGTGCTTTACATTATAAGAATTCAAAATACTTGGGTCAATGGTAAAATAAGCTGTCCCAAAATGAGGAGCTGTAACACACCTCATTTTACAGTACTGACATGGATTATTTGTGAAGAATCAGTATGCCTGGGATACTTTGCCACTGCTAATTTAAACTGTAATTGGTGGCTTTAAGACTTCATGGTTTGATTTGTTATCATCTCCTAGGACTAAGCTTCATCTTCTTTCATGCTTGGAATAAAGAAGAGGAGAAGAAAAAAACAAAAAAACAAAACAAAAAACAACAACAACAACAACAAAAAAAAAACACAAGGAAAAAAATAAGGAAGATATGGGGTACTTCTATGTGATTTTATCATAATATTTGTTTTCACTAGGATAATAAATCATAGCAGGTCATTTAGCATAGTCATGCTAGCTACATTTGTGATCCATTGCCTTGTAGTAGAGCTCATTAATAACTGTGGCAGGCTGCATGCTGGTTGGGAATGAATGGCTTAAGGTTCCTCACCACATTCTTAGAAGGTGGCCTTTCCAAAGAGCACAGAGCTGTCCCCTGGACACTGGCACTTGGAGATGCGCTCAGAGAGTTGGTGGCATCGTCTCGAGAAAACTGATGGTGGCAATCTGGGAAGACATGGACTTCCTGATGTGGGGAGGTACCTCCTGAAAATGGTCTGAGTTTTAATGCAATGTTTTTATTGCATTAACTTGGAGAATTTCTGGGGATGTGTGAAGGTTTTGCTTGCATGGCTAAGAGGATTGTGGTGTAGAGACAGCTGAGCTAGTGGTAAGTGGACTGGTCGTGATGCTGGACATGCCATGGCGGCACAGAGCAGCCTGCGTGGCTCCTGTGTCCATGAAAGCACCATCTTTGATGTTGCCAAAAATATCCCCAGGTTATTCGATGAGCAGAGCATCTCAGCCCTTAAACTGCATGTGTCAAAGCTGTCAGAAGGCATGAAGCGAGATGCAAGCTTGCACAGTTTTATTTCAGGACTGCACTAGCAGGCAGCACCTGAGTCACCCAGAGCAAGGTCCCATCCAGGTACAGCAGCTTGCAGTCAGCACTTGCATAAGGATGGAGATGGCAGATATACTAGGTAGCATATTAAAGCAATATTAATTAATCACAGGATATATTATGATAGCAAATGCACCCCTAAATAGGGGTCAGGTGCTTGCTGCTCAGTGACCTGCCTGCCTAGAAGGGCGCATTTGGTACTGCCATGAGGGATCCTGGATTTGGCTCTGCTGGCAGTGCTGGAGGGGCCCTGTGCCAGTGCCCGCCTTTGAACCTCCTCTGGCTGCACAAACCTGCATGGATTTTGGAGCCCCTGCAGACATTTGTTCTTAAAACTCCCCCTCTTTCATGGGAAAGGTTTTTAATCTTTAATATTCTAGCCAGTGCCTGTGGATATCCTGGCTTCAGCTTTTGCAGACTTTTGGTTCAACTTTCTAATGATGTGAAGCTTTATTTTTCAAAACACAAAGTGCTTTTATGCCTGTCCAACAGGAGTGCGCAGCATTTGCCAGGATCAGGCCCGTAATTATAGTTTGCGGCTGTCTGCAAGCTTTTGTTCCGCGAGGCTGGGCTAATACAAAGGACGGGGCGTTAGGCTTGCATCTCTCACTTGGTTACTTCCCTGGACTTTTAACAAGTGATAATTATGGAAAATTGGTTCTGTATAAACATCCTGCTGACAGCCTGTGTGTGTGTGATTCGTGTCTTTAATTTGGGAATGATACGATTATCGTTAGAAGGAGTCATTAACGTTTGTGTTTGAAGGATGACAAGGATGTCATGCTCCAGAGGGTGATTCTTGTTCATTCACCCAGGTCTAGGCTGTTCCGCGTGTTTCAGCATCCCAGTGTGCCTGGACAAAGATTCCGGCTGTTCTTCAGAAGGTGTAATTGGTCACCATGTTCTTGCTAAATATCACCCTGGATTTGTGGGCCCTATTTATTTGAACTGTATTTTAACCTATAGTACAGCTTCTCTTACTGCTTCCAAACTGCTCAGTGGGTCTTTTGGATGATTTTGAGGTGCTGAGCTACGTGCTGAAAATTATGGTGTCCCGCCATCTGTGTGTGGCAGGTGAGATGCTCACTGTTAAGGGTGGATTTGGTCTTGGAGGGGCCACAGGAGCCGTGCACTGCTGGGGTGGCACGGCCGCAGGAGATGGCCATCCTTGAGCAGGCAGGGCTCAGGGTGGATGTGTGATGCACTGACCTTGACCTGTCCCCATTTCTGCTTCCTGCAGTGTACGGGCACAACGTGAAGAGCAGCAATGACTTCATCGGGAGGATCGTCATCGGCCAATACTCCACGGGTGCCCCCGAGTCCAACCACTGGCGCCGGATGCTCAACGCACACCGGACGGCCGTGGAGCAGTGGCACAGCCTGCGCTCCCGGGAGGAGTGCGACCGCGTCTCCCCAGCATCCCTGGAGGTGACATGAGCTGTGGCACCAGCGGCAGCCAAACTGAGCAGGCGGACGAGGTGGGGGAAAAAAAACCCAACCACCAAAACACTCAACCTCACACCCACCCCACAGCAGCTCCATTGGACTGAAGCAGCTGCCGGTACCCGCCTGGCTGCACTGGCCTCTGTGCAAACCTCCGCAGCACCAACCATGTCCCACCGGGTCCCATGCCAGTAGCTCCCCTGGGGCCACCAGCGGCCTGGCCAGCTGGACCTGTTGCTACCTGCGTCCGGCTCCGCTGTTTTTTAGCGATGGAGAGCATCATCCAGAGCAGGGCAGGCTGCAGGCGGAGGTGCCGCTGGACATGCCGAGATGGGGAAGAGTTTTGAGTTGCCTCTGCTCTCCTTACGGTCCAAATCCATGACTCGTCCTCTCGGAGATATACGTACCTGTGTGCTCTCTTTGGTGAACGTGGTAATTAGGCTAGGATGTTTTTTTAAATGGTAGAAGCTGTGGTGAAATCGACTCTGGCTCCAGTTTTGTCCTTGTACTTGTTTCAACAGAATTAAGCTCCTGTTAGTACGTGCCAGGCACACGCAGCCCCGTGCACGTGGGTCTGATGTACCGTCAGCAGTGAGGTCTGCCACTCTCCATAGCAGTCTGTGTGTGTCAAGTAGATACCGTGATGATATAGCGAAGTAAACGTCTCCAGTAGCACTTATACTTTCCAATACTTCCCTATGTTGTGCAAAAGAAACCTGCTGTGGGGACTTTTGCAGTTAAGAACACCCCAAATGCACAATTTTAATTCCCTGACAGACTGCAGTGGCTCTTTCTGTGTTGTGTGTGTTAACCGAGGTAGTTTTCGAGGTCACCACGTGAACTTAGCTGCAGTCAGGCTGTCCTGTTGGTTGCTTCTGTACATTTTTTTTCCCACAGCATATTGTCTGGTATGATGCAGATTGTATATTTATTGAAAATAAAAATCTATTTAATTGTGCCATGCATGCTGAGATGGTACTTGTTGGCAGAGTTCATCATTGTGTTGAGCTCAGTTACGTCCATGGCACAAGGAAAGCTGGAAGGTTGGAGTTCACCCCTTCCTACTGCAGATGATCCTGGAGTTATTTAGGGGAAACTGGGGCAGAGCTGATGGCCAGCCCAGCGCCTTGTTCCTGTTGGGCAGGGCTCCTGGCCAGAGTACATACACCTGAAGCACAGGGGTCTGACACGTGTCTGCATGGGGCTGTGGGTTTGTACTCCACAGGAGTGGGCCCCAAGTTATTATATAGTTTTAAAATTGTTTTATTTATCAGTGGTAGGTCTGCGTGAAAATCCATTTCTTGCTTACAGCTCATTGACAAATCAAACTACAGAAGGATGTCACCTGCAAGACAGCAGGGCTCAACACAGGACTTTCTGGATCTTCATTTTGGAGAAGGAACCCCATCAGCTGTCTGACAGCCAATGCAAACATCAGTGCTCTGCAGCTGGGGAATAGAGGCACCCAGCTCCATGCTGGAGCACAGAGATGCTGCACAAGGAGATCTTTCTCATGGCACATGTGCAGGGTGGCATCGGATGGAGCCATACCCCTTGGGAGCTGTGAGCCCCTGTGCCTGTTTTCTGGTATTTGAGCACCCACTGTCTTTGAATGTTGTTGAACAGAAGCTCTTCAGCAGCAGCCGTGATGGGTTTGAGCAGGGAAGGGATGATTCGGGTGCCTGTGGTTTCCTCTAAGAAATGTCCTTGCCTCCCTGCCTCAAGAAGCCATCTCGCAGCAGCTCCAGGGCAGAGCACCATGCGTCCCCAGGCACAGGGTGGCAAAGGGCCGTGGTGGCCTCGCTGTGGTGCCATCACTCACATGCTGCAGCTGGGGAAGCCCCTGGCCGCCCACCTGCGAGGCACAGCTGCAATGACTGGATCCCTCTCTGCTGCTCTCCAGCACAGCTGGTGTGTTGGCAGCTCCAGCTGCAGGGACAGGGGCTGCCGCTGGGCTGCCCGTGGGTGTCTTTGCAGAGCTTCTCTGCCGCAGGTGATGGATTTCAGTTCTGGTCTGTCTCTGCGAGTTAAAAGTAATTCTGCAGGTGAAATTCCTCTCCTGTCCCACAGCAAGGGCAATAGCAAATCCTTCTCTTCTCTGGCTTTCCTCCCAGCTCATCTCATTGCTAAATCACGGTGCAGAGGGAGCCCTGGGCAAGCACACTGGAGGGTGCCGACCTGTTCCTGCAGCCTGCAAAGGCTCAGACAAGGGCTGGTGGTTTCAGCAGTCACTGGCCTCGTTATTTTTCCACCTGTGGTCTATGGGCAGCAGCACGAGCTTTGTGCATCCACTGAAGATGACTGGAGACCCACCAAGTGCTTTGCTTAAGCGCTGCAGATGGAAATTTGAGTGAATTAACATGTACCAGAGTTTTGTTCTACAGTTTGCTGATAATTGCCTGTAATACCAGCTTTATCTGGGAGTTGTGCACAGCTGAGAAAGGAGAAGGCACGCAATGGTCTTCTAATGCTAAATCTGAACTTCTTCATTTGTGGTAGCCTGGTGTATCAATAGACCTTTCCTTGAGCAGTATAGTTTTGGATCAGTATATGGAACTACAAATGAAAGGGGGAAGGAGTTCTGTTAAAATGTTTTATTTAATGCAAAGAAAATCTAATATAGGATCTCATGAGCTGCTGGCTCTGGAATAAGTCTGGATACTTTACTGAAAGCTTTGGGGCATCCCAAATTCTTTCTACTTGAATCCTGCCTGTAAAAACAGGAGTCATCCCACCTCAAGTCCCAGAAAAACTTGAAAATGTTTATCTGTGGCTGAGAATAAAATGTGAATGGCACTGACTGTGTTCCCAAGCAGCTCATTCAGTGCTGGCTGAAGGCAGAAATTGGAAGTGGAGCAGGACCATGGCTTTTCATAGCACGTGTGTGCTGCAGCTAGAGAAGGACTTTACACAAGATTTTCAAAACCTGAAGTTTATTTCCAAATACGGTTCTGACAATGGAAAGGAGATGTGGAAGAGCCTCCGTCCCATCGCTGTTTGTAGCTGCGGGCTGTCTGTTACAGGGCTGCACGAGCACGGTGGGGGCAGCGTGAGTGAACGGATCAGGCTTGCTCCTGTGACATCACCAAAAAAAGGTAAAGAAGGTGCAAAAAGAGGCGGCAACGGATTAAAAAATGAGAAATAAAAGCCATGAAAACCATCTCCGCCTTGATCCTAGGGGGAGGGAGAAACCCACAAAAAGCTTCTCCGCCTCACTCCTAGGGTGGAGAAACCCACGAAAAGCATCTCTGCCTCGCTTCTGGGGCGGGGGGGACCCAGGAAAAGCATCTTTCCCCCCCTGCTTGTGGGCCGTGGAGGGCGGAGGGCCGCAGCGGGGAGGTGCGGGGCGGTCCCTGCCCGCAGCCGCCCCCTGCCCGCAGCCGCCCCCGTCCCGCCGCGGAGCCGCCCGGTGCCGCGGTGATGGGCTGGGGCCGCGCCGTGTGCGCGCTGCTGGCAGCCGCGCTGCTGGCCGCCGGGGCTTTCCCCCAGACCAACATCAAGATCAGCCAAGGTGAGTGCAAAGCGCCCGGAGGGGGTTTAATCCCGCACCGCCCGTGCAGGATGGGGATGGCCCCTTAGGGGGAGGGTTTAGGGGTCTCAGAGGGGCGGCTGCTGTCTCGCCGGTTTGTCTCGCTCCAGAAATCTCAGGCTTGCCTCGAAATCAACTTTCTTCTTCTCTTGGGTGCCCCAAGCAGCCCTGCTATCTCCCTGGACGCTGAGGCTCTCTCTGCTGGCTTTGTGTTCAGGCAGCTGGGCTTTTGCCCATAGTGATGCGAGCTGGTGTGCCAGGGTGCCAGAGGAGCACCTCCTGTCCCTGGAAAAAGGCCACCGATGTGAGCTTCCCTCCCCGTTTTTTCCTGGGCTGGTTGTAAGCCTGGAGCATGGTGTGGCGGCAGCCGCTCTGTGTCACTTAGGTTTCCTGCAAACTTTCTGATGGGGCTGGGGGGAGCAGGAACCTGTGATCATTGCACGGTGCCCCCCATCATGTTAACAGCTGATGCGAGCAGAAAGGGACCCTTAAGTGTCGTTCCGAGAGTTTGTGAGAAAAAGGAGCAATAGAGCCTGGGTTTCCGCCCAGCCGGCCAATCAACGGGAGCTTCACCAGCACTAATTAAGGAGGAAAAATGCAAGATAACTCCTATCTGTTACTGCGGGCTGTAGGGGGGCGGCTGTGGCAGCCTCGTATCTCCAAATGGATGTGGCAGAAGATTTTAATCTGTAGAGACAGCTTGGTTTTGTTAGAGGGATTTAAAAAGCAAAACACTCTCTGCGTGAAGGGGAGTCACTTTCCCAATGTGCTTCAACAGCTGTTTAAAGTTTTACTTGGACATTTGTAACATGCACTTAAAAACCCACTTCAGGGTGTGTAAGGTACCGTCGGGTCATTAAATGGTCTCCGTGTCCATCAGTGGCTGCCCTCTCCTCCAGCTCCCTGCGTCCCCCAGACACAAGGAGACCAAAAACCCTCCATGAGCTGCTTGTTTTGAATGTGGCCACTGAGCATGAGGCTTTTTTTATCTGTTAAGGAAAGATCTGTTACAAATGGCACGAAGGTGGGGCTGTTTGTCAGTAACGAGCATGGTGTCAGTGTTAAGGATGTGCTCCTAAAGCCCTTGGTGACCTGAGGCATCTCAGTATCACACAGTAGCACTGTCTTAGCCCCTGCTAAGATTTGATGGGCTCCTGCCCATCAAGCTCCCCTTATTCTTTGGTTTTAGTCAATAAGGAGGACGTGGGCTCTGCCTCAGGTGGCACAGTGACCCCTATCCCCAGCCATGCTTCAGCTGGAGCAATCCTGGAGGGTCCTGGGCTGCCCGGTCCCAGCCCTGCAGTCTCAGCCTCCCCCCTGACCACCAGTCAGCAGCTCCAACACAGGGTAGCTTTCTCTTTGAGGTCAGAAGGCAGCATCAGCTTACAGATGTGCCAGGAAGAGTGTTTTAAGACCATACATGTCAGTGAGGTCTCTCCTAGAACCTACAAGCTTCTGGTAAGCCATCAGCTGCCGACCTGACCTTACCCACTGTCCAAAGTGCTTCCATGGAGCTGCATCCCCCCAGGGGACTTCCCTGCACGGGCATCTCTCACCAGCCCTGTCCTGGCCCCAGCCTTTGTCTCTCCAAGCTACTGGCTGCTGGGGAAGCAGCACGCAGCCTTGGCGTGGAGCTGGTAGGGAGAAGCCTGCCCTTCGCCTTCGCTGCTGAGTCGGGGAGTCGCGCAGTCGGTGCTTTGCTTCTTCAGTAGCATCCCGGGACACAAAGGCTGATGGAACTGCCTGGGGTTTTCTCCCTCAGTAATTTGTCACTGGAAAGCAGCCATTCGGGGAAGTGAAACTTTCTGCCAGAGCTGTGTCAGACTCTACACAGCTCTGACATGGGATTTTCCCCGTTAGGGGGATCCTGGAGCCTCTGAGCTGGGTTTCAGCAAACCACTAAATAGGAAGAATCCAGTTGTATTGGCACCAAAACACATTCAGAGAGCACAGAGCTCTTTTCCTGACCCCAAATTCCTGTTTTCCAGCTTTTCTGGGTAAGTATTATCTGCCTGACACAGATCTTATCTTCAGCCAAGTGTAGACAACCATTTTGCCACTGCTGCATTTAAACACATCCCTGGCCACAAAACTGCTGCACTGCAAAAGGCAAAGGAAGGACGGAAGGATTCGTGCCCTCATTTTCTGCCAGAAATTTGGGGACAAAGGGATGGCAGGGATGTGGTCCCATGGGTGGTGGCTTTGCTGCAGGTGTGGCTCCAGCCCAGAGGAGCTGATGCTGCCAAGGGCAATGTTTTGCTGGGACGCTTAAAGGTGAGAATCTGGTCTGAATATCCCCCCAGTGCTTCCCCCATTTCTTTTTACATCAAATACCACTATCAGCTGCTGGCTTAGGTTATGAAGTTTTCCTACAGAGCTGTGAGTATGCTCATACACACATGCATACAATTTCTTATGGCTTTCCTGCTAAAAATA